AACCAATGTTTCCACAAGGTTTTGTGGTGTTAGAGAGCTTCCCCCTTTAGGGAGTGCTCTGTGAAAAAGCATTGCTGAAGGAGAAAGCTTTTAATTCCAACTATTAAATGTGCATGTGGACAGTGTGCTTATCACTATGCAAACACGAAGATGTGCTGCATAGCCCCAAGATAATTATAATCTACAGAAACTGTTCCCAGATGAAGAGGATACAGTTTGTAGTCTTTCAGTGTAAGAATCAATGGTGATGACTAATCAGAAGCAGGATAAAAATAAAAATAAGTAAAGTAAAAAAAGGAAAATATGAGTGTAGAGGAAAAAAAACCCCTAAAATATGTTTATTCATTGAAATAAAGATGGAAACCAGAAGTTAAGGATAGAAATAGAACAAACAAACAAGCTACAAAGCAGAACAAGATAAAAGGTGGGAGAAGCACAAATAACCTCAGTCCCATATGTTAGCTGATCACATGGTTGGTCCGAAACGTTCTAAGGCTTTAAGAACAGCAATGTGATAGTGAACGTAGCCCTGCAGATTTCAGCTAGTACTCTTAGCTGTATGTAAGCAAATCTTTTTGCTTCTTCTCCATCTTTTTCCCCCAACTGAGCGAATCTACGTGGCTTTGACATGTTGGTGAGATGATGTTACCAGAGCTGTGAGGAGTATTGCTGAGTTCCCAGCAGTCTGTGTTCGATGGGATTGTAATGATTCACCAGAATTGCCTCAATCCAATGCATAGTTGGTATGCAGTTGGACAGGCTCTTAAAAACTCTCCTGATCCTCGTTTTCCTGACTCTTCTTGACAGACAACGGGCGTAGAACTGTTGGTGAAGGCTGTATCAGTTCCAGAGACAAGCGATAGTGTGGTGAGTTTTTCTGTGACATAAATTGGGTCAGAAAGAGACATCCAGAGCTCAGACCTCACATCAGTCTCATTATGGTAGAAGGTCGCTATGCATGTTCATGAGGCAATTAAGTTGCATTAGGGAAATGAGGCTGATCATGGACAATTGCTGATACTCCAGGGCTAGTTTAGTCTTAAAAATGTAAGTTTTACATACTTGTCTCCAACACGACATTTTAAACCGAAGTTGTTGCCAGCTTTTTTGAGATTCTGTTCTGTCCTTTAGGGCACTCAGGTTTAGTTCATGTTTCTTGTAACTAGGGAAGCTGAAACTTATCTGTTATTTTTCCTTAATGCCCTATAATTCCACTAGTGGAATGTGGAGCACGTGTATAATTTTGTGACCACAATACAAGTTACTGTCCAGCTCCCTATGTTCTGTTTCCAGTAGGGATGGAAACCAGACTTGAGGCCTTGGAGGTAACCCTTTTACTGGTTATACTTGAAAAATAGCAGTTTATTTTTCTCACACTAACTAGAGTTTTCTCAGTGCAGGGAATTTGTCCCTTAGGGACATGACAACGCTGTACTGACCAAAATGCAGGAGTTACAAGTTC